AAAAACTTTTATTTGTGACAAAAACTTTGAATTGTAAATTGCGTGCTGATCGGCACGCAATTTCGTTTAAGGGATAATGGCATATATTGCAGTATCTTGCATAAAACTGCCAATATATTGTAGTAAGTTCAATTTCACCACAAACTATGCAGGATTGAGGTGAAGCAATGAAGAATCTAATATATTGTAATTCATTCCAGTTTGGTGGTGGAGGTCGTTTCAATCTTTTAAAATAAGCCAATCTTGCTTTTTTCCAAATTTGTTGGGTTGCATTACATGTATCCATTAAGATAAAATGGAATCTTGAACACGTTTCTGCCAGTGCCAACAAACTGGATGGTGGTAAATCTTCACAAATTTGGACAAATATTTCAACTGGTATGTTTGCAAAAATTGCAAACTCTTTCCTTTTGATACTATATTTTTGTGGTAAAAAATGAGAATTCCTAATATAATAATATAACTAGAGTAACGATGAGTGGCGGGCGATAACCACCACCATCCTTATGATAAACACTTACCAAACATTTTCTTTTTTTCTATCTTCTTTCTTCTCTTTGTATTTTTTGATGACATTTTTATTTAATTTAATTTTTTATCTAAAAAAAAAAAAAAAAAACAAACACGTAAACAATATTAACATTATTATTGGCACTTGGTGTTGCACAGATTTTTTTTTTTGTTGACGCGAATTGATTGATTGTAACTTTCTCTACCTGATATCAATGTTCAGGTTATACACTTTATTTTCTTTTATCCATTCTTTCACTGTATCTCCATGTTTAAGTGAACAATACAGTGAAAAAAGTTTGGCAAATGAAGGTGGCATTAAATTTGGTTTTCTAACATACAACAAACATTCACTTTGTAATGTTTCATCCTCTATTATTTTTGTTATATCAGGCTTAACTGCATAAACATTTGAAAACTATCAATTGTTATATGTAAAAATATTTAAATTCAATAAATAAAAATAAAAAAAACAAATGATGATTATGCAAAATTTAAATAAAAAATCTCTCACCTGAAAAATATCAATAATTATAATGCAACCATAATACCTTAATATAACAACAAATTATATCATTGATTAATAAAATAAATAAATAAATCAATTAATGAATGTAATTAACATTCGTTAATAATTACAATAAATGCTCCAAGAATTCTGAAACCTTAAAATCGTGTGCTGTTTTGTATGCAACCAGAAGCTTATATTTTGCACATATACAGAAAGTACCATTAAATCGTTCTTTTTCAGGATTTAAAAGATCTCCATACTTTGATACATTTGGAATTCAACGTCAAAAACATATGGAATATCAAGAAATATTAAACGCGACTTATAAAAAGGAACACAGAGGTGGATTGATCAATCATTTGTTTATATATCTTGTATCTATGTTTATATTTAGATTATATTTATAATATATACGTATTTTATTTAAAAAGTTAAGAATGACCAAATATGGCAATTAGAGTATGTCCCATATCTCAAACACATTGTAAAAAAGAAAGATATTGCTTCAAAATATAACAGTTGTAGGTGTCATAAATTTTATTGTATGATATATTTAATTATTATTAAATAATAATAATAATAATAATAATAATAATAATAATAATAATACTAATAAATTTTTATTTACTTAGTGCAAAAGAAATTGATTGATGAATTATCATTTTATCAAAAACATTGATCTTTTTAATTATAAAATTCAATATGTATATGTAATTAATTCATGGGTAATAGTGGATAATTTTTTTTACAACAACAAATTATTATATATATGTTTATATTCATTCATCTATAATTTATCATTTAATACACGTCTTTATCAAAATGTAATTATTGATAAGAACAATATTATCTTATATATTTAAATAAATATTTTGATGCGCACTACCAACGTTTTATAATGTATCTAAAATTAAAATTGCAGTAATTGCCACCATATTGGTAAAAAAAAAACAAAAATTTGGGACTGAAACTTTCTAATCATCGTCATCATCATATTGTTGTTGTTGTTGTTGAATAATCATGTCAATTATAATAACGATTCAAATCAATCTTACGTAAAGTTTTCAAAATTAGAACATTTACAAAAAATAAATATATCAAAAAAATTAAGTTTCAACTGATGTTTTATCGTTCGTTTCCTTTTGATCTAATAGAGATAAATCATTAAATAATAAATCAATAATTAATTTAGGCAATTTCACACCAGGAATCCTACCTAAACCATTAACAAAAGTACATCAAAATTTGGGAGATTTAATAATTTCAATACCACATGTAATCAATCAATTGGTGTAAAAAAATAATTACTTTTCATTCATTTAAGAAAACTTAATATTGATAGATTGATACACACATGATGTACTACATTTGCTTAGCTATGATCTTGATTATTTAAAGGTAAATTGGAAAAAATAAATAAATATTTAAATTGGAAAATAAAGAATGATAACACATACATAAAAATATATATATTTGTCTAAAATTTATTAAATTTATTATCCTATTATAATATTAAATATAAATAAAAGAAAAAAGAAATGTTGAAACAAGTTTGGAAAAAAGATTTATATCATTTTTTTTATAAAAAAAATATATATTATCAATACCTTTTTTTATGATGTATATTTCTTTTTAATTTCTTTGGCGATTGTGATTAATTGAATGTTTGAGGTTCCCTCATAAATTGCACCTTTTAAAACCAAAATGTTAATATAAATAAATGATTGAATAAATAAATGATTGAGTGATTGAAATAAATAAATATTGTGAGTATTTACCTATTTTTGCATCTCTGTAATACTTCTCAACTATAACATATATACATATAAGAAAAAGTTATTTAAAAATTATTAAATAATTTTTATAATTACATTTTAGTAAAAAAAAAACTTTAAACTACCTGGAAATTCTGTAGTAAATCCAACACCACCCATCCACTCGATAGATTTAGACGCAGCCTAATTTAACATAAAATAACATTAAAGAAATTATCATGATATAACAAACACACCATAGTAAAAGATTAAAAAATTTTATTTTTTTAAAAAATCAAGAAAAATCAAATCTATATAAAAAATTGTAAACCTTTTCTGCTATTTGAGAAGAATACAATTTAGCCATTGCAGCTTCTTTAATAAAGGCTTTTCCTTCTTGTTTCATTCTAGCCGCATTATATGTTAGCAATCTGGCAGCCTCGATTTCAGTTGCAACTAGATGAAATATATATGTGTGCGCATGCACCATGTAATTATAATTTAATAACAAAATTATATAATTTAAATAATAATAATCGTCATTGTTACATTTGTTAAATAATACCAACTTTGTGCATATTGCATTTGCATTCCCTATTAAAGATAAAAAGAAAGAGAGAGAGGAATATATATATACGTCGTATTCAGTGGTGATTTTATTAATATCAACCAAATTCTTTTTATCCATCTATATTTTTATTATCTTTACCTGAAAGTTGCCAATAAGTTGACCGAATTGTTCCCTTTGGAATAAATAAGGTAATGCGTGATCATACACTCCTTGTGCAATCCCTATCATTTGAGCTGCTATTCCAATACGTCCCTCATTCAATATCTCAATAGCATACTTGTAACCTTGAATATTTACAACAATTATAATAAATTATTATATCGAATATTCATTCACGTCACGTCATATATGAACATGCACATATATTTATTATTTGTAGATAATACGCACCTTTTCCTACTTCTCCTAATACATTTCCTTCAGGAACCTAACAATACATTACATACATACATACATATATATCATTAAAAAATTATATATATACAACAATTACAATTCACTCAACACATGTCCAGTACCTTGATTGCATCAAAGTTTACTGTACAAGTTGAAGAAGCTCTAATACCAAGCTACAAAAAAAAACTTGTGATAATATGTTCTAATAATATATATATATATATATAATATAATGAGAAATTAAATAACACAAACTTTGGATTCTTTCTTTGCAATTTCAACGCCCATTTCTTTATCTACAACAAAACAAGTAATACCTTTATAACCCTTTGATGGATCTTGAGGTTTTTTTATTTTTATAAAAAAAAAAAAAATTCAACAATCAAAAATGATAAATATAATTAGAACCAATTATATATATATATATATATTTATATATTCACCCAAATTTGCAAAAACTAAAAATATTTCAGCTTCATTTGAATTTGTAATCCACATTTTTGACCCATTAATAACATAGTATCCATCCTTTTTCTCAGCACGTGATTTCATAGCAAATGGATCACTACCAGCACTAGCTTCTGAAAGACAGAAACATCCAACCTTTCAATATGAATTTTTTTTTTTTGAAAAAAAAACAAAATAATTTTTACTTTAACCATAATATATAATTATAACAATAATAATTATTATTATTATCATCATCATCACTATTGGTAAAAGTACCTTTTCAGTTGCAAGTTGTGGCAAGTATTTTGCTTTTAAATCTTCGTTAGCATATTTATTAAATAATGTGTTGACAAGTGTATTCTAAATAAATAAATAAAATAAAATAATACTCATCACATTAATTACAACAACAATGAGAATTGTTGATTAATTTTGAAATAATAATTTATCTAAAAAAAAAAAATATATATATAACCTGAACATCACAAGCTACACTGATAGAAGCATCAACTTTGGCCAATTCTATGAATCAATAATCAATTGATTGATTAATTATTACTTGTGATTTGGTTTTTTTTTAATAAAGTAACATTATAATAATAACCTTCAACAACCAAAATAGCAGCCAAAAAAGAAGATTCAGCACCACCATATTTAGATTCTGTTTCGATTCCCATAAGCTATGACATACATATTTTATTAATATTATTAAAAAAAAAATTTTTCAAAATAAACAGTGTTTTGGTGGCTATGATAATGTGATTCCAAGATAACGTACACCCTGTTCAAAAAGACCACTAAGGACCGATGGATCAATCTTTTCCTTCTCATCCATCTCTTTTACTTTTGGTAATATTTTGTCTTGTGCAAATCGCGCGACTAAAATCCATCAGAGATTTTTTCAATTAGTAATCGATTGATTATAAATTATAGAGGCAAACCAATTTGGAAATGATTATTTTATCTTTTTTTCAGTTAAAAATTAATCTGATTCTTCATTCACATTATCAATTTGTTTGTTTGTTCAAAAATTTTTATCGACTATTATTAACAATAAAACTTAATAAATCGAAAGAATTTTTTTTTTTTACCTGAATCACGAAGTAGTTCTTCTTCTTCAGTAAGTGTGTTTAAAGAAGGTAGGGGGGAAGCATGACATTTTGGTATAGTTTGACTAAAGTTTCTATTATTATTATAAATATATATCTATCCGTTATATGAATTCAATAAAAATCCATTCATCAAAAAAAATCATTATATACCTAAACGTATTTACGCTAGAAATTCTCAAAGGCGATAAACCTTGTCTAATTAATGAAGGAAGCCTAGTTCTTGATAAATTTACTAATGTCATTTTTTAGAAAATTATTTTTTATTATTTAAAATTTGAGAGAAAATAATAAATACAAGGCTTTTATATAAATTATCGCGCGATAAAAATCAAAATCCTTCAATTACTATAAATAGTTTCTAGTCCGCATATTTTTTAGTAATTATTTTTTTTTTGTGCTGATAAATAATGTGAATCATCACCATCTATCTCCATATGAATTTTACTTCAAGTATTTTGGATAATTTTTCGTCCAACTCTCTAACGCTACAGTTTTCCATTGTACATATTTCATCATAATGGTGTTTACCATTAAGCAATCTATTAATAGCTAATCAGTTTATCTGTTATATTTAGTTTTGGAAATTAATAACAAATACATGGTCATTTACCTTTGTAATTTAGGTGATAGATTAATATGTTTATTATCATTGCCATCAATTGATTTTTGTAATATTGGATATTTATGAACACGATACAGAAACCCTTTAATCACTCCGAATGAAATAAATCTCCTAAAAAAATTTTTGAGAAATTATAATTTAATTGTTGTAAATATATAATAGTAATTAATTGATTGATTGTAACTTTCTCTACCTGATATCAATGTTCAGGTTATACACTTTATTTTCTTTTATCCATTCTTTCACTGTATCTCCATGTTTAAGTGAACAATACAGTGAAAAAAGTTTGGCAAATGAAGGTGGCATTAAATTTGGTTTTCTAACATACAACAAACATTCACTTTGTAATGTTTCATCCTCTATTATTTTTGTTATATCAGGCTTAACTGCATAAACATTTGAAAACTATCAATTGTTATATGTAAAAATATTTAAATTCAATAAATAAAAATAAAAAAAACAAATGATGATTATGCAAAATTTAAATAAAAAATCTCTCACCTGAAAAATATCAATAATTATAATGCAACCATAATACCTTAATATAACAACAAATTATATCATTGATTAATAAAATAAATAAATAAATCAATTAATGAATGTAATTAACATTCGTTAATAATTACAATAAATGCTCCATGCATTTTCTTGCAAGCACATAATTAACATCTGCTAATTCTGCTATTTTCTTAACATGATGTATTCCATTTATACGAGTTGCAATCTAACATAATTCACACACATATATATTATATATAAATAATAATGTGCTAAAATCATTAATATATTCATGATATATTAATAATATCTACTTTTTTCATTGTTATATCCCAATTAGCATCCATCAATGCTCCAAGATTTACTGTACATATAGGGACTTGATAATCATACACTGTTGATGGATTTCTATATGTTGGGAATAATTTTAAATTGATTGTACTTGATGGATCTTTATAATCATTAATTAAATATATATATATATATATATTTGAGAATCTAACAAAATATTTTTTTAAAAAAATTAAAAATTTGCATTTTTTTTTTTACCTTCACTTATTGGAATTTGACATTCACAATAACTGTTAAGATCTTCTAATATTTGTTCAATTATATTATACATAAAACCTTTAGTTGATTCATTTGATAGAAATTTGCTTTCAATCTTTTTCATCAATATATTAGAAAATCTTAGTATTATACTATATCATAGAATATTCAAATCCAAAAAAATAGCTTTCCAAACCTCCAATGAAGTCAATACCCTTGCAACCTTTCTTACGACTGGTTCATAACTAGAAGTATCAGCATTATAAGCAAACACAAAACAAAGATTGAATAGAAAAAAATTTCTTGGATAATTTTCATCTTTGATATTGATAGGATGTCCTAATACTTTGTAAGTATCTGTAGAAATATTAATCAAGTGTCCACATAATTTTGGTTTAGGAATAATGTATTCTGAAATGGAATCGAAATCAATGATAGGAGTTGAAGACTCTGTGGGAATTATTGAACCTTCCGGAACTTCAAATACTACTTTAGGCCCTTTCTCCTCATCAAATATTGTATAAAACACAGAAACGAGACGTGGTGGAATTCCTGCCTGGAACTCTTTCTCTTGTTGCGCATAATCTTGCATTGCCTTTTTTCCTTTCAAAGAAATGTTATTCAACAAATAAAATAAGACTATAAAAGTGTAAAATTTGTGAGCAAATAAAATTTTGTGTCAGTTTATAATAATGATAATAATAATAATAATAATCCGAAAATTATTTATCATTATTATTATTATTATTTAAACATGATGTTGCACAAGATTGACTAAAAATTATCAGTTTTTTTTTAAAAAATTTTAAACATTCACTTAATTATGCATAATAATAATAAATCAACGAATCCTCAAAAAATTGAAATTATACCAAAATTCACTCTTAGATCAAAACATAATTTATATCAAGTACCTGTTGCATATAAAACTTGGGGCAAATTGAATGAAAACAAAGACAATGTCATGGTAATATGTCATGCTTTTAGTGGTAGTGCTGATGTAGAAGATTGGTATGCTTTTTTTTTCATTCCAACAAATTTTATTTTATTTTTACCATTTATCTTTTTAATTCCAAAATCAAGTTCTAAGTGTATTTTTTTTTTTTAATTGATTTTTTTCTAGGTGGGGTCCACTAATTGGAAAAGGTAGAGCATTTGATCCAACTAAATTTTTCATATTTTGCGCCAATGTTTTGGGTTCACCATATGGGACTGCATCGCCTTTAACTATAAATCCTGAAACTGGGAAACCGTATGGGCCAGAATTCCCTCTCACAACTATCAATGATGATGTTCGGTACGTGTCATTATTAAAACGGTCCACAAATAAATAAATAATCAATCGATCGATCAATTAATTATTATTTTTTTTTTCTTTATCAAAGACTTCATAAAATGGTGCTTGATTCTTTAGGAGTAAAGCAGATTGCAATTTGTATTGGTGGATCAATGGGTGGGATGCAAGTACTTGAATGGTCATTTTTTGGTCCAGAATATGTCAAAATTATTGTTCCGATTGCAACATCTGCGCGGCATTCTGCTTGGTGTATAAGTTGGGGCGAAGCTCAGAGACAATCGATCTACAGTGATCCAAAATATCGTAAGTGTTGTTTTTAAATATTAATAAAAAAATTTTTTTTAAAAACAATAAAATAAAAAATCACCATATAAAAACATTACTTATTCTAATCTCTTAATTCTTATAGGTGATGGATTTTATGATCCAGATGAGGTAACTAACAATTTTATTATGATCATTATTATAGTTAATATATATTGTTATCATTATTTTACTACATTATATATACATATATTGTTTTTTAGCCACCAACTACAGGACTTGCAGCTGCTCGTATGGCAGCTTTATTAACCTATAGATCACGTAATTCATTTGAATCAAGATTTGGTAGAAATTATCATGACCCTACAAAATTCCCTGCTGCTAATACTACCACCAGCTCTCCAAAAATCAAACCTTCGACATTATCTGGTCAGGCTTTACTTATTCATAATGATGGACATCGCAGTGAAAAAATTTTGAATGGTGATTATTTTAATGATAAATCTGATGAAAATTCTACAATAATAAACAACAATAATACAAATAGTGGCAGCAGTGTTAATAACAATAATAATGATATTAACAATAGTAATAATAATAGTAATAGCACTAATAATAATAATAATAATAATAGTAATAATAATAATAATAATAATAATAATAATTGTAATTATAATTATAATAGTAATAATTATAATGGCAAGGGTGTTAAAAGCATTACAACAAGTGATGATAATAACAATAATCATACAAATGGTAAAAATAGTGGACAATTGGACAATAATAGTGATGAACCACATGTATTTTCTGCACAATCTTATCTTAGATATCAAGGAGACAAATTTGTTAAAAGATTTGATGCAAATTGTTATATTAATATAACACGTAAAATGGACACTCATGATATTGCTTATGGTAAACATGGAAAAATGGAAGACATTTTAAATAGTATAAAACAACCTACTTTGGTCATAGGTAAAAAACCAATTAATATATATTTCATATAAATAAATATATTGCATTATTTTCATAATAATTTTTTTCCCATTCTTGATAAATAGGAATTAAATCTGATGGACTTTTTACAATTTCTGAACAGTATGAATTAGCAGATCATATTCCAAATGCAGAAATGATTACAATTGAATCACCAGATGGACATGATGGATTCTTACTCGAATTTGATCAGATGAACAAACACATTCTTAATTTTATCAAGAAACATTTATCAACCATTTATAAAGATGGAGGAGAGCAAGAAGAAGAAAATTCAACAATAGCTAGTGGTGAAATAATAACCACAAAAAATGGTTTGTTTGATGAAGCAGAGGTTGAAGATATATTGAAATGGTAAAAGTAAGATAAACATCAGCGGGAGAATGGAATTCACATATCAATGGGCAGATTATCAACAGATAATAATTAATAGTACATTGTGATGTCATAGATAACATGACAAAAATAAAATAACATGGTTTAATAATAAATATTTAAATAGATTTTGTAATTTTAAAGATTAGTTTTTTTACAAACTATTATTTCCTTAATCTTTTCTTTTAGTTTTTAAATAAAAAATCATAACCAATTTCTCAATTTCTTTTTTTTTTCTTCAAAAAAACTTTAATATCAATATTACTAAATCATAACAATAAATTAATTTCTGTCACATCACCTTTTAAATGCATTGACATACATACCAAATCTTTACAATAAAACACTTATTTAATCAATAGACCGTTAACCTGTTTCACTTGTATGATTCAGCTTTGTTGATTTGATTCATTTAATAGACGACTTGTAAAGAATGATGTTTATTATTTTTTACATCTGACAAATATTTTCCTTTTCTGAATTGATAATTTAGACCCAGCTGTATCAATAATCTCAGAATATATTTTCTAAAACAATCGGCTATTGATGATCTATTTTGTTGATCACGATCCCGACATCTTTTCATCAATTAAATTTGGGCGCATCATCTGTGATTTGAGGTCTATCCTTTAAAATATCCCAATATGTGACGATGGTTATGTGTTGAAAATTTAGTTGAAGAGCCGAAGGTGAATATTGCCCAGTCTTGTTGTTGCTGCAGAAATATATCATTGTATGTAAGCAAACCGTTGATAATAAGTTTTGTTTTTGTCTAAAAGCGGAAAAAGTTAACTGTAGTTGCTGTTGAAGCGATCATAATGATAAAAAGAATCATACTATGAGCTGGTTTATCACGAAGGCTTACAGTCCATTCATTACGAATTAGAGGAGCCAAATCAGAGCAATTGGTGGCCGGGATTCAAAGGCAGTTGTGCTGTATCTGCGGTAGGTGTTGACCACCCAGATCAAGATACCTACTTTGATGGGGTTTTAGGACAAATTAAAATTAAGATTGGATCTAAATTGAATCATTCACATGGAGTTCCTGATTTTTTGAATCAAGGTTATGAACTTCGCCCCTTATAGCAACAACTTGTTATAAAAAAATAACAACGAAAATGAGTTGGTTTTAAACATTTAAAAAATTTTTTTTATCGATTGATATTTTCCACATAATTTGCTTTCTATATTTTGTAATTATAAAACTTCCCTAATTTGTTGACAACAAAGACCGTCATTGTATCTAATATGTTACAAGAATGGCTTCGTTTGGACAAAGTTGGTGTTTGCATTTTTACGAAAATGATAATTGATAGTTAAAGTATTAGAGATATAGAAAAGAAACATTGAAGAATTAGGATAACGATTTCTTGATAAGATCTCTTTTGGTACAGCGGGTGTGTATCTCCATTTATCAATTCATCTATTATCTATACATGTATATCCAATCACAACTATTCGCTTCTCGCTCACTCGTTCATTCACATTCGCACATAAATTGTTTGTATTTTCTAATGCTTTTATTGAACTAAATAACACGATAGGAAAAATAAAACTTTGACCAAAATTTCTTTGTCAAAATAATGCTTGCTTTGAAAAAAATCAATTGTTCAAAAAACGCGTATAATAACATCTGAGGTTTTGAAATATGATAATACGTGTCTTGAATAAGCGTCTATGTTGTTTTGAATTTTTTTGTAAACAGTCATCATTTTTAATAAACGAATCCTTTAAAAAATATAATAATAAAGTACACAACTACATATACAACCCCGTTAAACCAAATTTGTTAAACCTAAATACTAATTTTAAACGGATTAACGGGGTTGACTATGTGGTTTATGTCCTAGTACTAGGTCCTATAGATTATTTCTTTTTTGAAATAATGAATTTCACAGCAAAAATTAGAAAACACGAAATTTTGCATGCATATTCTACAGGATCTAGACTACAAGCTATATATACTTATTATGTGTGTTTTTGCATAATTGATTCTCTGAAATTTGCTGTAGTGCACCATTTTGATCTAATGAAATCTATTTGAATCTATTAAAACAAATAAACAAAAGGATAAATTTATTATTTATAAAAAAAAGAATAAAGAAACTTTAAAGTAAATAAATATGGACTGAGATTGATGTATCAAAAATTTTTGCAGCATTAAAAATCATTAAACTTATACATTTAAATAAATATTTTGAATAAGTTCTTTAAAAACAATGCTATTTAAATTGACTACTGCTTGTGTGATCAATTCAATCATTAACACCAAAAGAACAAAATTAATTTCGCAATAAAAGCTATTTGTTTGTTTGTTTTTTGATTTTCATGGTTTCTATTCATAATCCAAATTTCGTTTTTATTTGTTTTTATTTGTTTTTATTCGTTTTATTCGTTTTATTCGTTTTATTTGCTTTTATTAGTTTTATTTGCTTTTATTCGTTTTATTCGTTTTATTTGCTTTTATTAGTTTTATTTGCTTTTATTCGTTTTATTCGTTTTATTCGTTTAATTCGTTAAATTCGCTTTATTCGTTTTATTCGTTTTATTTGCTTTTATTCGTTTTATTTGCTTTTATTCGTTTAATTCGTTTAATTCGTTTAATTCTCTTTATTCGTTTAATTCGTTTAATTCGCTGAATTCGTTTAATTCGTTTAATTCGTTTAATTCGTTTAATTCGTTTAATTCGCTTTTATTCAAATTACTACTATTATTTTATTCGAAATTATTTTTTACTCAAATTGTTTGTTTTATTCGAGTAAACTTTATTTGAATAGAAACCTAACTACTACTCAAGATTATGATATTATTTTAGCATAAAGAGCCTTAGTAATATTTAACCAATAATTTAATTACAATATAAAAGTTATTGGTTTATTAAATTAAGCAATAAATAATTAACTAACAAATAGGATTAATTTTAGAAGAATATCATTTACTAATAGGCTTTTAGACTACATATATGATAAAAATACTAAGAATATTATTAACTTATCAGCATTCTAATACCATGATTATTTTTTTAAAGAATAATCAGATTCTGATACTGATACCCAATTACCCAATTTGGGATCATCCAACCAGTAAAAAAAAGAACAATAGATTATATATAACCAAAGAAAGATGAAACCCTAAATTAGCACAAAGAATTTTAAATCATGCACAACATGATAGCTTGATTGACATAGTGGTGCAGTCTTGGATTCCATGCAATTTTTTTATTGTATATTATAAATATAATCAGTGTTGTAGATGGGACATGTCCGCCTAATATTGAGCGGACATGGACACTGTCCAAAAATGTCCGCGTAACAATTTGTCATGCGGACGTGTCCGCTCATTTTCTTAAATGTCCCGGACTATTCGGGACCAGTAGTACAAACCACAAGTTAAATGTGAGAAAATGCCTTTACCACCTTTATTAACTCAACATATTATTAAAACCATATAAACTAAACCAAAGCAATTCAAAAACATTTTGTAAACATGTGTCACTGATTAAATTTTGGGAGAGCATATTTTTAATTGGTGATAACAATTATTTTGTTTTGTGTGGATCAGAATGAATAGGGATCAATGAATTGATTTTGTTATTAGTGAATAATTTTGGGTAAAGAAGATAAAAGTTTTAAATAAAATATTTATTATTTTATTTATTTGGTTTTTCTTAGTTGAAACTAATTAACTTGTTAGAAAGTTACTTTACAAGTACATTGAATTCAAACTCCTTATATACAATTCAATTAATTAGTAATTCTAATAATATTTCAAAATTGAAATTTCCATTCATTATTGAAAAGTTATTTCAATATTCAAAATTGTGCTGATATTTCAAAATTGCGCTGATATTTCAAAATTGAAATATCTGAAAGACGATTTTTCTTTAATAAAGTTAAATAAATTACGGCGTTATACAAATAATTAATAAAAATTAAAAAATAAAACATATAATAAAGATTATAAAAAAATAGAAATAAAATATTATAATAATAAAAATTAAGAATTTTGAAATTAATTAAATTCGGCCAAAAGAACATCCAAATATAATTCTGGTAACACATGCGTTGAAAAATTAGGAGAGGAGGAAGGGAAGAAAAAATGGTTTCCAAACAAAAAGGATCGAATAATTCAGCATTTAATTAATTAAATGATCCAATATTAATAATCCAGAGCCTTGCTTTAGAGTAGAGGCAGAAAGTTAATATAAAATTATTTTTTTACAAATAATTCATTTGTAATAAACATTTTCATAATTTAAACAAATTAATTCTTTTTTTGTTTAATAAACACTTTTATGGTCGGAAATT